CAAGTCCAAGCCCAGCAACTTAAAAGCGCTCAAAAACCAACAGAGAACTCCGCAAAAAAGTTATGTAATTGCTGAGGGGGCAGGAAGCGGGGGAGCAGGCAGGATGGGGTGAACTTCCCTAGAGGTGCTGTCAGTCTGGATTAGAAGAAGTTAGGGCCGGGCTGAGAATATCCAGCCAAGCGCGGGATTAACTCCTTAAGCTCAGGTCCTGGCCCCAGGCTTACCTGCCTGGCCGTTCCTGCGCAACCACACAGAGGAGAAATAGCCCTCTCCGTGGTGCCCTTCCTCCTGAGCCAGGCTACCCTCTCCTCTGAGAAGCTGCATGAGCCAAGACATGGAAGCAACCTAAATGCCAATCAACAGATGATTGGATAAAGAAGTGGTGGTATAGATACACAATGGAATACGACTCAGCCATAAAAAAATAATGCCATTTGCAGCAAAATAGATGGACCTGGAGATTGTCATACTAAGTGAAGTAAGTCAGACAGAGAAAGACAAATACCATATGATATCACTTATATGTGGGATCTAAAAAATGAGACAAATGAACTTATTTACGAAACTGAAATAGACTCACAAACATAGAAAACAAACTGGTTACCAGAGGGGGAAGTGGGGTGAGGGGGATAAACTGGGAGTTCAGGATTTGCAGAAACTAACTACTACATATAAAATAAACAGCAAGTTCCTACTGTACAGCACAGGGAACTATATTCAATATCTTGTAATAGCCTATAATGAAAAAGAATATGAAAAGGAATATATATGTATAACTGAATCACTATGCTGTACACCAGAAATTAACACAGCATTGTAAACCAATTATACTTCAATAATATATATTTTTTAAAGGATCTGTATGGATTCCCCCCTGCCTCTAGGTAGTGGGGTGTGGTGAGGTGGTGGTCTCCCCGACAAATAAAGGCCTTCAGGTATAAGCCAGAGGCCAGAGAGTAGCAGCAAACGCAAGCATCCACTGTCTGAATATGAGCCTTGAGACCCCTGGACAGTATCCCAAAGAAGACTGAGCCTGTTCTGGGCCCTTGGAGGAGAGATTTTGGAAAACCTGGACCAGGCTCTATAGCCTGGCTCGCTGCCTTCCCCTCCCTGATTCTGAATGCCGGGCTTCCTGGGAGCCCATCTGGGCCCTCTCTCATCAACTCCCATGGCTTAGAAACCACCCTAACTGACCTTACGCTGATGCTGTCCAAATGTGAGTCCCCAGCCCTGGCAGACCTCCCTCTGAATCCACACTCACATCTCCAAGTGTAACATGGATAGCTCCCCTCGGCTGTCTCGTGAGCAACTCAAAATCATCTAAAGCAGAGCTCCCGAAGTTCCTCCACAGACCCATCCCACCCCCCACCTCAGTAGATGGCATCACCAGCCCCCCAATAGCTCAGGCTAGAAAACTGGGCATCGTGGTTGAAACTCCCCTCTCCTTTACCCCCACATCTCATCCATTCACAGGTCCTGTCATTTCTCCAGCTCAGCCCCCAGTTTCTTCTCTTCATATTCTTATCACAACTTTAAGTTATTTGTTTGTCTGTTTACTTCTTCATTGGTGTTGGGCTTTCTATGAACACGAGAAATAATACTCACTCACCAGTGCATCTCCAACATTTAGCCCAGCGCAGGAGAGTAAACACTTAATGAACAACAACTGAATGAAGGAAGGAAAGAATTCATTATTAATGATTTCATCCAGGGTGAAGCATCTATCTCGTTACTGGCCTGACACATTCGCAGAGGGCCAGCCCTCTGAGCTGCGGCAGGCACCGAGTCTCCTCACCTGTCTCTCTTCCTTTTTCACAGTGGGTTACCAACCAGAAGACGTACCTTCCTGCCCCAAAATGAAGCAGCAACTGCTAAGTCCCACCTCCTTCAAAGAGCCTTCCTGGGAGATCAGAGTAGGACCACCACAGTATTGCTCGACCAAGCCTGGATGTGGGATTTCCATACAAATCTCTTCAAGCCCCAGTAGCTGGTTTTCTTTGTTTATTTAACTGTCATTTCCCTTCTCTGAAATAAATTCAGCTTTGGCCTAAGATGAAAATACTGCCTCCCTGGCCTGGCCTGGCCTGGCCAACCCTTCTTCATCATGTCTGTGTTTCCTGGATACACAGGCAGCCCACCATGCCTGGAGGGCGCGGCTGCAGCCTCAGAGACAGTGTGGGTAAGCAGAGGAGCTCCAGGCCTGAGATCCTCAGATGTGCTCGTGGCTCAGACCCTCAGATGCTCTACAGCCCTAGGCAGGCCACTCCACCTCTCTGAGCTCAGTCTTCTCATTGGCAGATGAAGTTCTTGGCTTCCTGTGCCTGAGTCCCTTCCAGCCATGACCTTCTGGACAGCACTCCCAAGGCCAACTAACACTCGGGTGTCCTGGTGCAGGGCAGATGCTGGGAGCTTCCATGGCTGCCACACACACCCGGGGGCCCAGACTGCATGTAGACAGTGCTCAGGAGCAGGATGTTTCCTGAAGGATGTTAATCATTGTCGACATGGGGAGGCCAGGAGGGTACAGCTCAGTGGCAGAGCGCTGGCTTAGCATGCATAAGGTCCTGGGTTCAATCCCCAGTACCTCTGTTTAAAAGTAAATAAACAAACAAACCTAATTACCTCCCCCCTCAAAAAAAATAATTGTTGACCAGAAACAGGGAGCCTCTGTGGAAAATGTTAGGTTACATACAGATAGCTAACAGGTAATCTTTCCTACAAGGCTTCTCAGAACCTCTAATATGTTCTCTACAGAGGGAAGATTCAATGAACACGGAACCCCTTTTTGCAGAGTTCCCTAGCAGACCGGGACTTGTGGGTCTGACTTTGAGACAGGTGACTATTGAGAAATCCCTGCAGCTCTAGGTTTCCGTCAGTTCACACTTTCCCAGGAAAACCTTGATGAGGGAAGAGGGGACCAGCACCAGGGCAAGAAATCCTCTGTCCCTAACCCCTCGGCACCTCAAGGGCCCCTCTGAGTTTCCCCCAAATAAGAAAAATCAAGGAAAGGGATGTCTGCGTGGTCCCGCTTTCCCCACTAAGAACTGCCCCCGCCCTGGCTCCTGGAGTGTGCCCCCCACCCTCCCCATAGTGCTCACGGAATAAATGAACAACCAGAGCTTGCCCACTTAGACCCCATAACCGCCTCAGTTTCAGAGGACTAGCCCTCAAGTTTTCCTGTGGGCCGCACAGCCCACGTGGGACAGGATAGAGGAAGGCAGTCTAGCGGGGAGAAAGGCTCCAGAGAGACTCAGAGGCCTGATGTGAAACACAATGCACTTTATTGGCAACAGAACAGATGGGCAGAGGGGCCTGTGTGTTATGTACATCAGAACAGTGGTGACCATTCCACCCAGGGAGGGGACCCCCAAGAGCAGCAGAAGGTGGTAGCTGTGGCCACACATGGACAATCGCAAGGAACAGGCTGGAGCCAGAGCGAGAGCCTGAAATTCTCGTGGCTGATTTTGGCCGGGGATCCTGATGGAGAAGCGAGAGGCCACGGTCTTCTAGCCCCAAAGAGCGGGCCCGGAGGGGGCTGGAGCGGGGATGGAGAAAGGTGCTGAGGGTGTCGCTGATGTCGGAGTGGAGAAGCGGATGCGGATGTGGATGCGAGACGCCGGGGTGGCTGCCGTGCACATGCGCGGTATTTATCTGGAGCTGAGCTGCGAGCGCTGGGA